TTTGGTTCAGGGTAGTATCTAGTCGAGCACTCTCGACTAGAGTTTTCTTACTTGTTTTATTTGAAACAATATTTGGCCTGGTTTCAAGATTTTTACAAAATTTATTTCACTTAATTGCTTTCAATCTGCCTCATAATAATTCTAAATAAAATTCACGTAAAGTATTTAGTTTTATATACTCTGGTTCATGAGTCATTTCTATTTCACATTTAATTAGAGAATTATTTAAATTTATTATTTGAATCATAATATTCCTTTATTTATTATTTTAATCAGAATTTTTTTTTTTTTTTTTTTTTGTGTGCAAATATATATTTTAAAATCTATAAATTTCTATACATGCATTATCTTAGGAAAATGTTTGAATTACAGAAAATTTTGTATTTTAAAATTTATATATTTTATTATTTTAGAAAAATTATAATTATATTTTAAAATTTATATATTTTATTATTTTAGAAAAATTATAAGTGACCGAAAATAAAATAATTTTTGTTGCATTTAACTTAATTAAAAAATATATAGTCGTATGAACACAACTTCACAAAAGTTTTATATAGTTATTTTGATATATGAACTCATGTATCTTAAGCATAGCAAGATTAAACAAATTTTAATTTATTATTTTATTTTATATGCATCAATATTTTTATAGAAATTTTAAAACCACAAATCATCAACAGAATAACTTATTCTATTATTTTTATATTTTGCTCTTTGTATGCCCTAATTTCCGAGTTTCGTTCAGCCTACTCACTCATTAAGTCCTCAGCACAGCCATAATAACGTTTAAAGTCGAACCAAAGCTGCGTAATTATAATCAACGTCTGAGATATCTTCACTTCATCAACGCTCACTTTAGACTCGCTCTAAGAACTCTAATGAACTGTCTCGTCTTGGAGTGCCCCACATTTCTTGGCAGCCCATTCACATGCATATGGCATATGGCAACCCCAATTCGAATTTAGCTCTTGTGTGGAATCTCATATTTCTTACAATTTCTCAACAAGTGTTTCAGCATGAATGTGTAATTTTCCCTTTCGCCATGAAAGTGCCGTCAAACGGCAACCGCACGAAGGTCACAGTTGGCCAAATGCAACGTGCTTAAAGGCCTTAAATAGTTTTTAATTATATTCCGAGTGCATAATGCCTTTCTAACTAGAGTAAATGCTTTTTAGTATATATTTTTTATAATTTCATTTCATTTCATTTCATTCTATTTTTTTTTTCCTCCCTTATTATTTTCCATTTGCGTAGTTGGGCAGATTCCTCCGAGACAGACATAACAGGTATGCGCCAGAGCCAGACTTTTTTTTGAAAAAGTTCTGTTTGTATGCATGTGTGTCTGTGTGTGTGTGTGTCTGTGTTTGGCTCTAAGTGAAAGGCAACATGTTTGCAATACGTCGGACGAACTATAGAGCACTCGCCCCGCCTCAGTTGCTAACAAATTTGACCAAAAAATGTGCACCACAGCATACACTTTAATTGTGTGTGTGTGAGTCGAGTCTCTTTATGTGTGTGTGTGTGTGTGGCCTTTGGCTGCTTTCATTAGGAAGCCAACGTTTAGTCTTCTGCTGCTGCTTCTTGGTTTCATTTTTTCGGACAGCTTTTGAATTCGCGTTGCCAACGCCAACTTAATTACTATTTCTTTACCCACATCCTGCTGCATCGCCAACCAACCGGAAACAAAACGTCGTGTGATACACACACACACCTATGTATCCCCATCTCTCTTCTCTCGTCTGTATGTGTGTGTGTGTGTGTGGTCCATGTGGTTGCAACCAAAGCAGGACCACTTGAGGCGACAACCGTTCCAGCAGCAGCACGCGCCGCCAAACTAACGAAACAGCCCACCACCAACACCGCCAGCACCACCATCCCCCCCACCAGCAACACCACCAACAACAACACCACCACGAACAACTCCAGCAACAACTCCACCTTGAAGCGTGGCCAGGTGAGGGGGCGGCAGCTGGTGCAGCAGGTGCAGCCGGTGACCGCAGCTACGGCAGCTACCACCACGGCGCTGGCAACGACAATTACAACAACATCACGTAATGCCAAAACCGCAACAACAACAACGACGCTCGCCATCTCAGGTAAAGGCACAGGAAAATGTTGTGGGATTAAAGAGACGTGCAGCGTGCACCACCTACAGCACCACCAGCACCACCAGCACCATCAGCACCACACTTGAACTTTGCACCGCAAAATGCACACACGACGCCAATAACTAACTGTATAAGAACTTGCACCAAGCAAAGCTTGCCGCTTGCCTCTTGCCTCACGCCACTTGCCACACTGGCAACGCACGCTTCAATCTTAATGCACCTATGCACCTATTGTTGCACACCTTCATCTTCATCTTCTTATTCTTCTTCTTCTACTCTCACCTGCAACACGCATACCTTTCATTTATCAACACTTTTATGCACCAAATACGTTTCATAATACTGCGCGGATGAGCCTAAAATACGCTCAGCATGAATTGTATGTGAATTCTGTAAGGAGACAGTTTGAGAAATTTAAATTTACCTTTAAAGTACAGAAAATTCAAGCAGCGAATGCTGGGAATATAGAAGTATAGAATATAGAGTGAATGAAATTAACGTTTCTTTAATTGACAGTCGAGTTGGGCTAGTAGAGTAGTTCCATTCAAGATTATGAAATGTTCAGTTCATGAAAATCATTTTTTATCACTTTTTATTCAATTTAATATGCAAATTACATATATATCTGAACTGGTTTAAATATCGCTTTCGCTTAAAAAAAAAACAATTCCTGCTGTTCTATTCGTCCATTGAAATTATAAAGGCAGCCTGCGATCAGCCAAAGTCTAAGTAGCCATCTCGCTCGCACTCAGCAATGCCCCCAGCAAGAATTCACAGCAACATCTATAGCTGTCTCTCTCTCGCATATGGAGTTGACGTATGCAAGCGCAAGCTCACTCGGCCCGAGTGCAAGCTTCCACTGCAGTCTCACACTAATACTAGTGCAGCAGCCAATCACAGCAAACTAGAGCCGAAATGCAAATGAGAGAAATAGCAATAACAAAATTGGATTCGGCTATTTGATCTTTTGCCATACCATTAGAGCTTACATACATAAGCGATCGATTGTCCATCGACTTGTAAGCTTTTCATTAAGTGTCTGTTTACTTGACAGATGTACTCACAGATTAAAATTACAGAAAAATTATAAAAAAAATTCAAAAAATACAAAAAAAATTATTAAATACACGCCAACGACTGAACACAATTCGGTCATAGGAAATTTAGTTTGGAATCTATACCTAAACCTTTTTAGCCGCAATTTGTACACGCCGTTTTTTGTAATGTTCTTGCTTGAGTCGCCGCTCAATCGACTTGGGCTATTAACGCATCGATTCATTACATTTCAATATCGCAACCATTTCTTCAAATGGCCGCCAAAGGCTGTGAAGAGTGCTCCGCGCTTGCAGGTGGCAAAGGCAACGGCACGTGATAAATCAGTTGAGACGAATCCAGTCAATCAGCCAACGCCGCTCGACGAGAATGAGCCAAAGCTGGCCAAAATGAAGGCGGTGCCGCCGCCCAGCTTCAATATCAAGGATCAGCGCGACAAATGGCTGGCCAAGGTGTCGCCCCAATTGCAGCGCAGCAAACGCAAGGCCAACGCGCCAGCGGACGGAAGCGGCGGAAAACACGGTCAGCCGGGCTTGGGACCGGGGCCGGGGCCGGGGCCAGCGGTGCACTCGCCTATGCCCGCTCACCTGAATATGGAGGGCAATGCCCAGACCTTTGGCATTCCCAAGCAATTTCAGCCTCCTGCCTGGCAGCAGCAGCAGATGCAGATGCAGCACCAGAAGAAGCAGCCGCAGCTGCAGCAGCAGCAGCAACAACAGGGGCCCGGCGAGGACTCGGGCCGAGGGTCAGCGGACCGCAGCTCCTGGGTGAATCGCATGCACGGTGCACAGCAATCGAAGCAGGCCCAATGGCTGAAGGACATGAAGGCCAAGCAGCAGGCTGGATGCGATATACAGCAGCAGAAGCTGCAGCAGATAAAGATACCCTTGCCACCGAAGCCGCTCGGGAAAAGTCCAGCTGCAGCTATGGCGATGACTGCGGCCGCCGCTGCCGAGCCAAAGCCGGAGGAGCCACCAGAGCCAAAGACGCCGGAGCGGATTGCCTACCTGGAGGCGGTCAAGGTGCTCAACAACTATCAGATACACGAGCCCACAGCCGGGCGCGCCCAGTCAAAGTCGAGCAGCCTCAGCGACAAGCTGGAGCCGAACATCGAGCATACGCTGCTCTGCCTCAGCCAGACGGGCTTCGAGCGCGAGCAGCTGGAGCGCATACCTGTGATCCAGGTGGCCGGCTCAAAGGGTCGCGGCTCCACCTGCCTGCTGGTGGAGGCCATTCTACGTGCTCACGGCGTCAGGACGGGCGTGCTCAGCGCCCCGCATCTCTTTCTGACCAACGAGCGCATACGCATCGACGGCGAGCCGCTGCCCGAGGAGCAGTTCACCCAGCTGTTCAACCAGCTGCATGCGAAACTGGCGGAGATGCAGCCGCCGCCCAGCTACACGAAGCTGCTGACTGTGATGGCCTTCCATGCGTTCCGCAACGGCAACGTGGACGTGGCCATTGTCGAGGTGGGCAGCGGCTGTGCCAGCGACTGCACCAACATCACGGCGCATGCCCGCACCATCGGCATCAGCACCTTGGGCTGGGAGCAGAGCTTCAGCCTGAGCAACTCGATGCGGGACATCGCCTGGGCCAAGGCGGCCATCATAAAGCCGGAGGCGAGCGTCTACACCAGCGCCAGCCAAACGGAGTGCTGCGAGGTGCTCAGCCAGCGGGCCCAGCAGGTGGGCGTCCAGCTGCACCGCGTGCCCAGCTACATCGACTACATGGAGGCGAACATGGAGTGCAAGAAGCTCTTGTCCGGCGCCAACTACACGGTCAAGCTGAACGGCTCGCTGGCCATCCAACTGGCCTACGACTATCTGCGCCGTCACAATCCCGAATATGTCGTTGGCCTGGAGCACAACAGCCTCCAGCTTACGCCGGGCGCCACTCGCGGCCTGGAGATGTTCGAGCAGCGCGGACAGTTCGAGGTGATGAAGTACGACATGTTCAATGTGTATCTGGACAGCGCGGACACTCTGGAGAGCATGATGATGTGCCGCGAGTGGTTCTATACGCGCACCCGCAGCAGTCGCTCGCCCAAGATTCTGCTCTTCAGCAAGGTGAACGAGTTCAATGCCAAGGATCTGCTCACGATCCTGAGGCACAATGTGCGGTTCGAGGAGGCCGGCTTTGTGCCGAGCCCGAATCGCTTCGAGGGCGAGGCGCTCGAGGAGCAGGAGGAGTGCCAGGATAAGGAAGTGCAGGACGCCATCAACTGGCACAGCATGGAGGAGCTGCAGCGCGCCCGACGCAACGCCAGCAACTGGCGGTCCCTCTGCGAGGAGAACGGCTCCAGGGACAACTCGCACATGTCCATCTCGATAGAGGCGTTCTTCGACCATCTGAAGGAGAAGTACGGCAAGCAGCGGTACGGCATGCGAAATGAGCTGGATGTCCTAGTGACTGGCTCCCGGGAGCTGGTCGCCGGCACCATACAATTGATCCAGAAACTGAAGAACAAGGATTTCGGCAAATGGCGCTAAGAGACACACCAAACAATACAGATTCGAACCACGCCCCCACCCCCTCCCACCCTAAATGATAATTCAATCGGTTTTCGCTCTCGTTTTGTTCAAGTTACTCGATATATATATATGCATATGTATGTATGTCTGTATATGTGTGTATATGTATATGTATACGTGTGTATATGTCCATCTTATTGCGTATGTCACATATCCGATTCAAATTTCTAGTTACTGTATTCCCCCCTACATCACTCGCGCTTTAGTCTGATGACGTCAGCAGCAGTTTCACGTAAAATCAATCTGAGTGCAGATCCACTACGGCATATATCCTCAAGATAAACATACGCATATAAGTCAGTTGTCTAAAAATAAATCACATATGTCATCATTTATTCACCTCGTTTAATTTACCCGATTTATTTTGCAAATTTTATTTTTCTTGAATTTTTCCTTTTAAATTTATCATCAGGATAAAGAGATGTTATTCACATTTATTAAAAAAAAAAAATTTATTAATTAATATATTCCTATATACAATATATAATATTTCTCATATCTATTTCACATACTGAAATACTAATTACTATCATCATCAGCCTAACTATCGTATACGTTTTCTGGAATTTTCAAAAGGATAAATATTGCCTCTAAAAATATTTTATGTATAAAATCTCTATATTCAAATTGAAAATCATTTTTCTACCAGACTTTTCTTATATTAACTGCCTGATATTCTATATTTCATCTATACAATATATGTATATATTTCTCATGCTCAACTTATCCGCACGATAAATATTTCCAAGTATCTAATCTGTCAGTAGACGCAAAATCGAAAATCACCTTATTTAGTGTTAAATATTTTAAATTTCTTGAAGCTCTCTCTCTCTGTGTGCGTGCGTGTGTGTGTGTGTGTCGAGTGGGTCGAGTAATTTAATCCAATTGGGTTGTCCATCAACTTCAGTCTAAATTATGCAAAAACGTCGGGGGTATATCAAATGCAGATGGGCAAACGAAAAAGCGTAACCCAAGTCGGAGGCGTTGGTCCACTTGGACAGCTGCTTGGCTGCCTGGCTGGCTGCCTTGCCTGGCTGATGAGCATGACGTGGCATCTTTTATATATCCAATTAGCCATTGTGACTTTCACATTTCCAACTGCTCGACTCTACCTGACGCACATTTTAAATATAAAGAGAGAGAGAGAGAGAGAGAGAGAGAGAGGGGGGGAGAGAGAGATGGACTTCTGTGGCAGCTGCAATAATTTATGCTTGCCTTTGGCTTTTTTTCAGGGTCGAACAACATGCCCGGAGGCAGCCAGGAGAACAACTATAGCAATGCGCGTGATTTGTCGCAGGAGGCGCTGTGGCGCCTCCAGCTGGCCGCCGCTCAGAGCCAACAGATCTACGTGGAGCAGCGACCGCCGTCGGCGTTCAGCGGCCTGGTCGACTACGCCGGCTATCAGCACATCAATACGGTGACCAGCTCGCTGAGCCAGCAGAGCTTCGGACAGCAGCAGCAGCAGCAGCAGCAGTCGGTCGGAGTGCAGCCGCTGACGCCGCATGAGATGCTGCAGGCAGCGCAGCGCTATGGCACGCTGCGGAAATCCAAGCAGCCGCCGCTGCCGCCGCAGCGCAAGGATCAACAGCAGCAGCAGCAGCAGCAGCAGCAGAAGCAGCAGCAGCAGCTGGGTGAGTGTTGACCGTTTGTCTTGTCAGATAAGCAGCTGAGATGAATGGCAAGGAAATCAGTTTGATTGATAATGCAACTAAGTGTTGCAAGTGGCAGCGGGATGAGGCAGGCGCTGAGGCTGGCAGTTCAAATTGTTGCACACTTATAAATAAAATAGATTTTGCATGTTCAGCTCGAGCTGGTAGCTTGGCAGCCACTAGGATGTGTACAATTTGCATCTGTATCCTTTTATGCATGAGCAGCAGCAGCAGGAGCAGCAGCAGCAGCAGGAGCAGCAGCAGCAGCAGGAGCAGGACACGGGCACAGCTTGCGTGCAAACACCAGAGACACAAACAAACACAGACGCACACACACAGACACACACGCACACTGTCGCACATATATAAACAGATAAATGCACATAAAATAGTCAGCTCTAGCTGCTGTTGCTGCTCCTGCTGCAGTCCTCTTGTTCTCCTGCCCTCTCTCTAAGGGAACAAATCGCTTGCAGCGACAACTATTGCTGCCCCGCCTCAGACTAAACAAACGCAGTTGCTGCTCGTCCCTCGCGGCTGCTGCACTCTGTGGCGCGTCTTTAAACGCCAACATGAAATAGAAGCAGAGAAATAACTGCAAAAAGGAAGCGACTGCAGTCGGTTAAAGCGGGTATACGCAACTAGAAGTTATCCTAAAAGAGTGCAACAAATGCATATATATGATATGATATGATATGAAATGTTTCATGATACGATATGATATGATATATATGATATGATATGCAAAACTATCGATAACAAATCAGTAAATGTTGTGAAGCTATATTATGCTAAGCGAACAACAACTTTCAAAATATTAAATATTTTACACTTGAGTTATTTCTGATATTATTATAAGATACCAAAAATCTATGAATCGATAATTATCGATTTGAGTAAAAGCAGATAATTATAAAATTTATGTTAGAATTCCGATATCTCCTTCTCTAAAGAGTGTTTTATATATGCAAAATTTAATATCGATACTTCGCAACATTCCAAATGCTCCATTTTAGCCATTTCCCAATCCTACAGAGTGTTTAAAGAAAACACCGATAAAAATACGCAAAAAAAATGGCAAGCAGATAAAAAGAAATGCCCAAACAAACTCGAAGAGCAACAGCAAACGAAAAATGTAAAATGTGCACGAACACAAAATATTTTAGAAAATCAAAATCAAACAACGCTGCGAGCTATAAGTGAAGTGAATCACTGAACAGAATGCAACGCCACATGCCCCATAAAAAACGAAGAGTGGAGTGAAAGAGAGAGAGAGAGAGAGAGATAGAGAGAGCTGCATAGCATACAATGGGTAGAAGCTGCGTAAGAGACGGGCGAAAATCAATTGCTGGCTAGGGGCTATTTCCATATTTACGACTCGATTTACGCTTATGATTCGTTTAGTTAGCAGAGTCATCATTCACACTTTTATTATCGAGCAGCAGGTGATGTCTAACGGTAGAATGAAGCGCTTTTTAATGGATGCGCCGTAAAATGAGCAGAGTTCAAAGTGCTTCAGTTACAGTCGGTTTCGGGTAGAGTCAAGTGAGGTTATGTGAAGCTAGCTGAAGTGATGTGAGGCTAGGTTGGCTTAGGTTAGGTTTAGGTAACGATTTCTTCGGAAAATCATGTATGAAAATATAAATCAACTAATGAAGCAAACTTAATACAAATGTAAAGGCCTTGAGTTCTTACTCGAGATACTCTAGAATCTCGTAAAATTTGTCAACAGCTTGTTGGACATAAATGAGAATATATGTAAATCAAACCTAAATTTAAAATTAAATTTTCTTCAACATTTACAATTTGTCTGCATTGGCTATAAATATTATATGATAGTAAAAAGAGCTTTTAAGCACGTTCAAGCTAATCCTTAAACATTTTTCAATTGCCATCAGCATATATACAAATATATTGCTTGGCAACCAGCTAACCTAACTAACCACAAGAGGTTGCAATTTTTTGTTGAAAAGCTCACGAAGCGAGCTTAAAATATGCCGCAATAATTTTGAGTTTTTACCACTTCATGCCACAGAACTGTGCAAACCAAACGGTGCATTGTATAAAAACCATTTTGATTGGGCTGCTCATGAATGCAGACAAATACAGATACATATGAATGCACTGAGATACCCTGTGAAAGGAAACAATGAATAGCAACTTAATGGGAGTATAGTAGAATAGACTAGATTAACGTAGAGTAAAGACTAGAGTAGAGAAATATGTGTAGTGGAATACCCTGCGAAGGAAATTAATAGAGTGAAGGCAAAGGTAGACTCAAGGAACTGGGAGACTGGAAGAGCTAGAGCATTGGAAATTTTTATTTAGCTTATGCTATTATAAATATAAATGAAAATTTAGGTTACATCTCTGATTTATTACAAACTATTCGAGTATTCTCAGAGAACTAGGATCGTGATAGACCTGAAGTATTACTAGTTGGTAATTGAATTCTTAAATTAATTTAGTTTACATCTAATATAGATTGAATACTGGATTTATATCTGAACTTTAACTCGGAAAATACTTTTGAAAATTGGTATTATTATTAAGACTAAAAAGAGATTTAATATAACCTAATACATGTTATTCTAGAATTAGTTATTTGAAGAGAAAGATTATAAACAAATATCTAAATATTATATATTATTTACCATTCGAGTTAAGCATAAAACATTCATTTGGATTTGAATTATTTCCTGCCCGTTAGCCAAACAATTCATCTACATTTTCCGCTTTATTTCCGATTCGTTATAGTCATAAAACTCTAGCCGCTCTCTAGCTAGGCTATCTCTGAGTCGACTCAGCCTGTCTGCTCCGACTCGCTTTTGTTTTTGTGGTTCCGCTGCTAAATGCTGCTTCAATTAGCTAGACAAAAGGAGGCAACAGGAGCCAAAGCAGCTGCTGGAGGTTGTTTTTTATTCTTCTTCTTTTTAAATTGTATTGTTGTTGTTGTTGCTGTTGCTGTTGCTGTTGGGCATTCATATTTACCATGCTCGTGCATTATGAACTGCTTCTAATCCGCTTAGCTCCATTGCAAAAACATTTCAATTAAAACAAAGCAGTCGTTGCTGATGTTGCAGCAGCTGTGGCAGCCACAGAATGTGCCCCATTTTCTTCAGTTTGGCCACAAACAACAACAGCAGAGTACGGCATTCAGCCAGCAACAGAACAACAAGCACGAATACGAAAAACATGTCCATTCACTTCACTTCTTGGCCACAATAAGAAAGTAAAGCCCAAACAGAAGTCGTGACATAAAAGAAACTCGAATTGATTGGCTTCAGCTGTTGCAGTCGGAATGAAAAGGCGCCTCCTAAGAGGACAATTTCGATTTCTGATTCT